ATTCTATAGCTTTTTCTTTTATTTGTTTTATTATAAATACTGCGTCTGTTATAGACCGCCCTTTTGTAAAATCTTGTTGTTCTTCAGCATTAGTGATTTGCTTTTCCAATTAGTCCTTGAGAATAACCGTGAAAAGTTTCATTGTTGTATTCAAGAGGGTTATTCCTCTATAGTTTTGTGGGCAGATTTTTTGTCCTTTTTTAAATATGGGGATTGTGATACTATTATGCCATTCCTCTGGTGTTTCTGTTTTGTTTAATATTTTGTTAAATAGTTGTGCCAGTTTACTTGCAAGTTCCGGGCCTCCATATTTTAAAAGTTCATTGGGTATACCATCCGTTCCCGTTTTTTAGGTTTTTGATTTTTGCTTCTACTGCTTCGTCATTGATTGTAGCACTCACATCTGTTTCGCCTTCGTTTATATTCAGCGTTTCTTCAGCATCATATAGCTCTTTAAAATGCTGTTGCGATGTCTCTATAGGTACTCCTTTGGTCTGCACGAACTCGTTAACTGGTTTGTTTTTTAGACAAGAAACTAACATTTGTAATTTAATAATTACCTTTAAAGAAGATAGCAAATGTCAAAGAAATATAAATTTAATGCTTAGTAACTTTAAAAAGCGTACAAACATAGTGCAAATGTGGAAGATTCTAAAACTATTTGGAATATCGATTAAATAATGTGAACCTGATTAATACAGATTATTTTACAAGAGATACAGAGCCAGACTAGAACATGCTGGAGAAATGGTAGAAGGTATAGCTACACCAAGCGGAGTTAAACAAGAATGTATAGTGTCCCCGATACTATTTCTAACTTTAACGGATTGAATCATGGTGAAAATAAGCGATAAGCACAGTTAATAGGTAGAACTTGCACAAACAGTTGTTTGGACATTTGTCTCCTAACCGAACATAGCAACCATACGCAAAAGATTAACAAGCTTGCAAAATGCTCCAATGTAATTTAAGGCATTAAGTTACATACAGAAAAATTAAACTCTTGAGTAACAACAGCCAAAGAAACTAACTAAATAAAATAAATTGATGAGAAATAGAGAAAGTAGATAACTTTAGATATCTGCGATCAATCATGGAAAAAAAGGCGGTAGTAGATCAGGTGTAGAAAAAAAAAGTAGAGGCATAACATGGCTTAAAACACATCTAAAACAGACAAGATATACCTATCAGAATTACCAAAAAATCGAAATATTTAATAGCTACATTCGTACAGAATATTTTATTGTATAGTGGTGACAGGGAGAAACAACTACAAAAAAATACAAGCCTTTATAATTAAATCATTTTAAATATACACTTGGCTAATAAAATAACAAATCTAGAACTATAGTGAAAAACAAAACAAGAGAAAATTACAGTAACGATTTAAAAAAAGAAATGAAAATAGATTGGCAGTTATGTATTGACCAGATGAAAGAAGAAAGATCGGATAATAGCAAGAACTGCAACAATGAATCATCAAAGAATTGGCCTGAGATGAAGAGAAAGCTAAACAGAGAGCAAGAAAGAGAGAGGAATGAAAAAGACTTCGAAAAAAAGTCGAGAAAATTTCGAAGACCTATATCAGAAGGATGAGCTTCAGTCAATCAACCATCAATCATATATACTTAAATCTTTATAATATATCTTGTAAACTTTTGTATATATTTTTTATTTTTCTAATTTTATAACGTATCATTGATTATTTTAATACTGATCCAAACTGATCTAATAACTGAGAGAAAATTATTGAGAGATCTTAAAATGCCCGACCATGTCCCTTCTCATTAAAAACAACATTTTATCACCAAGTCAGTTCGACTTTTTATATAATAAATGTACCATCGATGCTATGTTTTCTGTACTACATGATATATTTTTCTGACTTTTTGTACGCTTTGTCCATAAAATTGTACAATTTTCAGTGAAAATAAAGCATATTTCTATTCTATTCTATTATTATTAGGGTTACCATAATTTTTTAACAAAAAAAAGTACGCTTATAATTTTTAAGAAAATATGTACTCTGCCTAGGAAATTTTTCTGGTCAAAATTTTACGAATCTTTAATAAAACAATGATAAGAACAATTTTTTTAATCAAACATAAGTACATACAAAATTTATGATAAATTTTAATAAACAATTTTCTTTCGACGTTTCTTCCTGAACATCTTTATCATCATTTTGGTACCAGTCGTACTTTTTGGAACTATGAATTTCCTTCAGAAGTTATGGTTTACTCTTCAAGAACTGAAACATTTCATAGCACGAAACTTTGAAGTTTGTGTAGACTTGCATGATGGCTTCCAGAGTAAATATGTGATTTGTGATTTTTTGGGACTCCAATAGTTATTGATATTTGAGAACAACCGTTCAATCGACGCACTGGTCCCAGTCAAACAAAAAACAAACACATAGAATTTTGAGATTTTTCAAAGCACTTTTTTTTAGGAAGATTTCGGGCCATCGATCTTCGGTAGAAATATTTTTCGAATTCCAGTCTGCGATTTTATCTTCTGTAACGTAGGTTCGTATTAGACTAACTTCATCAAACAGTTTGTTCTAATTCAATATCGGACCTATGTAGTCTTTGAAAGCCTCACACGACGATAAAATTTCAGCCCAAGAAACTTGTTTTTTCAAGTTAACCTATCCGAATAGCTTTAGTTCACTTAAATTTTCATTCCAGATTTTCAAATATGTTACGCAATTTAAATAGAACTGATAGATATCCCGATAGTTCATACTAAGGTCAAGGTCTTCCATATTTTCAAGTTTTGAAAGTGACTTTCTTACTTTAAGCGGTAAAAATCAGTTAAGCGATTTTTAAGCTTATTTATGTTCGAAATACTCCAAAGCAGCTTCCGTTGCGCATATTTTGTCACCTTCTACATCTAAAATCACTTTGTGGAAGAGGGACGCAATGTTATGCACAAACCACATCCATGTTTCACTGACTGGGTTTTGAAAAAACTGTTTTAGAACTGTTGGGCAACTATCACTCGATAAAAAATATGCTTTCAAGGGTTCGAACATTTGTATAATTCGCTCAATGGCTGGCATTAAGCTCAAAAATTTTGTTTTTAAAAACGACAACATTTTTTTTAGTCGATATCAACAAAATCGCAAAACTGTTTTAGTTTCTCCGCTCTGATTGTAAAAATATAGAAATACTTAACAATCTTCACCTCAATAACCTCGATGTCTATGTGTAAGACGTCCGTCGAGAGAAGCTTCTACAAGAGAAGCATTTAATTTGCTGAATAGATTGTTCACTCCTTTTCTTCTCATTCCACCAAAATTTGTATTTGTATTATCAGCAGACATTCCAATGCATTTTTGTAGTAGATTATGGTGATTCAAAATATTGATCACGTAATCTTTTAACTGCTCTGATGTTTCACCAGGAAAGTCACGTAGCTGAAGTAATTTTACTTGGACACCATTTTCTCCATCAAAATATATTACCATTAAGGGCACAACTTTAATTTCTCTATGATTCGACGAATCGATTGTGATGCTGACGAAATTTGCTTTTCGAAGGTCAATTTCTAATTGCGATTGAGCCTCTTGATCTAAAACATTTTTTACAATCGCCTCAGTCTTGGTTCGAGCTGCCGCAAATTTAGGTTCAAAGATGCTTACAATTAGTTTTGACGTGCAGTCTAAGGATCTGAAACTTAGCAATTGTTTAATTGTATGATAAGCAAAAGTACCTTCCTTGGCAGCAATCAACATACTTTCAGAACTTAAATTTTCTTTTTTAACAAAGGTTTCCAATTTGCTGCTCTTCGAGTTCGCATTAGCAGCCAACATGTGTTTTTTCTTTGACAATGTTGTTTGATATTACTGCGACCACTGTTAGAAATATCAATATCACTTTTACAAACTTGGCAATACACAATATGCAGTGAAACATTTGATTTTTGTTTCATAAAAGGATACTTTGCTTACAACTCGATATTAAAATGGCATTTTCTTCTAGGCGGTGACATGATGAAATTGTTTATTTTTCCACAGCACAAAATAATATTAAAAACGAGAAAAACTGCCGGAATTTAAGACAAAAAGTTAATAGACTAATCAACAGTGAGCGCACAAGTAATAAATAAACATAAACGTACGACGAGATATATATTTTTACTAAATAAATAAGATACTAAGATCGCAAGTGACTCCTGCGCCGATCGATTGCTGCTAAAGCTAGGAGATTCTGATTCTTTCGCAAAAAATCGATTTTTGAATCAATTCGAATCATAATTATATTTTGTTTGGACAAAAAGTAGGACTTAATTTTGTGTAATTAAGAAAAAGAGTACATTTAGGTGTACTTCATAAATTTTAAAGTACAATAGGACAGCGTTTGAAAAGAAAGTACTGTCCTTCTGAAAAGAGTACATATGGTCATTCTAATTATAATACATGTAGCTTTTCTATTAAATTTTACCATCTTACCCCGTATACATATCTTAATCTTGAATCAATCAGATATTGATTAACATTACAGCAATTGAGGTGATTGTCAAGAACAACATACTGGAAACGTTTCTTTAGTTAACATTTCAATGACAAAATGAATGAATACATTTACATAAATTCATATATCTATTCAATAAGTTACTAATACTTTCTATATTATGAACTAGGAAAAATGCGATTGTTAGAAGTTAGACATAATATTACAATAATTGTAGTATGTTTCTAATAGTATTTATTTATTTATGGAGTTCACATTATGTTTCATAAATACATTAGAGTACTAAAACGTTTTTATTGTGACATTTATAATTTATCTACTTCGTTTAAAGGGAATAAACAAAAAATTTAATTAAAAATATGTCGCGTGTAATGTTTATGCTTATTAAATACAGATCCATCAATAATTGTTCTTTATAAATTTGGTTATTTCTTCTTGCTGTAGTCTGTTTCCACTGGTTTGGTGAAAATATATCTTTTTTGTTTGACTTTCAAAGAGTAAACATCAATTTCTGTGTCCGCAATGCCTCCTAAGACTAGTGGTAAAACTGCTAAAAAAGCAGGAAAAGCTCAAAAGAATATTTCCAAGACCAATAAGAAAAAGAAGCGTAAGAGGAAGGAAAGTTATGCCATTTACATCTATAAAGTATTGAAACAAGTGCATCCTAATACTGGTATTTCTAGTAAGGCTATAAGTATCATGAACAGTTTTGTAAATGATATTTTTGAAAGAATTGCTGCTGAAGCTTCCCGTTTAGCTCATTACAATAAACAGTCAACAATTACTAGCAGGGAAATTCAAACCGCAGTACGTCTATTACTTCCTGGAGAATTAGCTAAACACGCCGTAAGTGAAGGTACCAAAGCTGTTACTAAATATACAAGTTCTAAGTAATAATACTACTTCATCTTAAAAATATATCTTGATAAATGTATTTTACCATGATATCTAACACTGTGGCATAATAATGTTTCTTAAATTTAAAACTTTTGACGAGACTGCATTTTCAGTTAACTCGATCTGGAGATTATTATTTTTATCGCTTTGAATACGTAAAGTGTGTGTATCTAAAATTTCCATTTTGTAATAAATTATGTTTGGGGGTACAGTATTCAAATTTTCCATACACACTTGCATAGTTCTCTCTTAATTTAGTCTTGAGAGCAATTTTACATAATTACAATAAAACCGATGATCACCCATCACCAGTTTACCATAACAGTTTTAACTGTTTTCTCAAACAGTAAATAATAATCACTTGTATCAACATGTAAGTAATATTTATTCGTTATTTATTTATTTAATTTTAATTTTACTAAATTGTTTTTTCACTTAACACTTCGACTGCGGCGGTTCGCCATTTGGGTACATTATAAATGCTAGACCTATTCTCGCTATTTGAAATCAGAATTGGAAAGTGATTGCTATCAAAGAGACTGTAGAGGATATGCCATGACTAGATTGTTTTTTTCACTTAATACTTTGACTGTGGCGATTCGCCATTTGGGTACATTATAATTGCTAGATTTATTTTCGCTATTTGAAATCAGAATTGGAAAGTGATTGCTATCAAAGAGACTGTAGAGGACATGCCATGACTACTAGATTGTTTTTTCACTTAATACTTTGACTGTGGCGATTCGCCATTTGGGTACATTATAATTGCTAGATTTATTCTCGCTACTTGAAATCAGAATTGGAAAGTGATTGTTATCAAAGAGATTATCGAGGACATGTCAGTTTATTAGAGATGATGACTTTGGGTCAGAAAAGCTCAAATCAATTGCTGAAAATGTGCCAGAAGATATATTGCAGTATGTACTTGATCTGGTATTTAGGCAAATGCTAGAACAATTTAATACATTTTCAATGCCAGTAGTGAGTACGTGCCACTGGCTCTCAGGAAGTCCTTTCGTAGACAATGGTAACCTTCGTAATTTTTAAGTTGTCCAGTTTTGGTATCTTTAAAGTTTGTTTCTTGTAAACATATAAAATCTGCTTCTGTTTCTGCGATCAATTGTTGGATTCTTTCATATCTCGGATAGAATCCGTCACAATTCCATTGAATTAATTTGAAAAGTAACTATGGAATTAAAAGGTAGATTTTTGGGACTTTTGTGATGTATCTGAGAGACAATCGTCGTCAGTGATGATTGTAATACTTCAGCGTTGCTATTATCTGTGGTTAAATATTTCTTTAATTTTTTCGTTGTTCTAGTAACTCTACCCTTAACAGATCTTTCTGTTAAAGAAGGATATATCTTATACATATCGTCCAACAGGACCTGTATATCTGTAGTAATTTGCAGAGCTTCGATTATTGAGTTGCCGTTACCAAATGAGTTCTCGATGAATGCAATAATTCATTCGGATTTGTGTTACATAGATTTTGTATAATTGTCTTTGTGTTGTCTGATAAAATAGCTTCGTTTGTGGACTGCACCCTACGTTTCTTCCTAACTAATTTTGGTTTATCAGTGCTGGAGGAGTGCTCAGGAGGAGGCATTACATCAACGTCGGATGTCTGGTCTTCAAGAGAATTTGTGTCATTAGTTGACGAATGCAGTTGTTTGACACCTGGTGCTGGTAATAATGTAGTTGCTTGAAGATTCTCAGAATTTGTCAACTATTGTATTTGTTGACAATGTTGATGATAAATTATTTGATTGCGGCAATGAGGTTGTTTGTGTATTTGTGTTAGGACATTTGTTTGCCGTATGTCCAGGCTGTTTACAAAGGAAACACTCCATACGATCTGTAGACAAGAATATTCTATATGCGATATTCTCATGCTGTATTAAAAGTGACGTTATAAGCTCGTAGTTTTCAGTAGACTTGATGTCCTACTCATCTCCTAGGATACCTGCCTTTAATAATGATACAGGCGACACCATTGAAGTTCGAAATCTTTGAGTGCCTGTTCTATGAACTCATTAGGTATGGATGGACAGACATTTGATATTAATATTCTCTTAGCTGGAGAAATTAGTCTTGTTACACTCAACTCAACGGAATTTACAGTTAAAGTAAAATGTTCTAAGCTGGTCTACAAGTTCGGTTCTTAATAAGTAGATACACACTCGGTTGTTTAATATTTTCGATGCAAAACAAACATTATTGGGATTAACCAAGCAGTTTCCAACTGTTTTAACGTAGTCCAATAACACAAGATTGGGATGAGAATGTATGATAACTGCTTGTTTTTTTTTTGAAAAATAGGTTTAGGTCTTGTTTTGTCTGCTGCAACGTATGAAGTTGTATTTCTCCGTCATTCGTTAACATTATGGGTTTAGTTACGTTTGAAGTAGTTTGTTGCCCGTGTAGTCAAAAGCAACAGGTTTAGGATTATCCATAATGGTTGTAATTATTTTCCATTATCAAGATAATAACAACCCACCATGTCGTATTACTGGTTGCCTATAAAATTGGCGTAAAGCGAAAGGCGATTTGGAAGATATTTGTTTCACTAATGAGCACAAAAAAGTTCAGAGATAAACAAAATAAACAGATTAATGCAACAATTATTATAGTCAGATATTAAATAATACCTTCAAGCTTACTCGTAGGCAAGAGTTAACAGCAGTTTCCAATACACTACACCTTAGTGATTATATGTCCAAAATATAGTAAATTTACAATCCAAATATTCATTTTAAAACTTAAAATAATGATTCTCAACATACCGAACGACCTTTACACGTTCAGACACCGGAATCAGTCCAAAATAAACTTTAAAATGCGGAGAGTATTTAAAAATGCGTATACTCACTTTGACAGTTATTTGACAATCTTACACTACTGGTATTAATTTTGTTGCATTTAAGGTTTATGTGATTGATTATTCTGGAATACTACATACTTAAAAAATATTTAAATATTTTAAGAGGAGAGGGTAGAGAGTTTTTTTCTGTTAAGTACATGTTCCCTTTTTGCCGTTAACAAAAAATTCTAAGGAAAACAATCAATATACAAACATAATATTTTATGAGAAATAAATCATAAATTTAAAACTTTGAAGTAAATTTCAGTTTATGTTTATAGTCTTCTTCTGTAAATGCCGGTGAAATTGGCCATGACAAAATCGGATTCTAAGAATTCATTTTTTTCCTTCCGGAATGTACACCAATGTTTTCTCCATGTGTTCCATTTTCTTGTTGTTAACTGGAAGTACAGTTAAATAGGCTCTTCTAGTAGTAGCCTGAATTGGCTGTACTGCATTCCTTAGTTTGAATTCATCCATTATGAAGCCGCCGATGTTCATCTTACATTGAACCGTTTTAGGATTATTTGATGAAAAAGTCATTTTCTGTATTGTGATATGGCAAAAGCCCTTTTTTGATTTCTTGTCAGTCATTTTAATAACAGAAAATTTGCTGTCAATTTTTGATGATTTTATTATAAAATCTTTAATCTCATTATTAGTATAATATCGTTCTTTTTGCTTTAATTTTCTTCTGATGATGCCAAAATCTCTGACATTTGGCATAAAACAGTGGCCCCTAATAAGAAGGGTTAGTTTGACTTCATTAAACTTTCTTATCTCACATAAGTAGATACTCACTCACACCGTTGTCCCCAAACAGATAAAGGTTTTTTACACCAGTCCAATTTTGTTGTGTGTACCAATCTAACATAGTAGAAACTTCGTTTGAGCCTTTACTCCCGTCACCTTCATAATAGATAAAAATTGTACATTCTCGTGTCGCGAGATTATTCGCACCAAAGACGTTTACAATCAGCTGTCTAAGGTAATAGGTATCTTTGACAGGAATACAAGGTAGAGATATGTTAAGCATAAAATCTATGCAGATGCCAACATTTTCTTCAGGCTTACTGACACATTGCTTGGTCACTTCTTTTAGTTATGCATAGAACTTTTTAGATTTACGCTTGTATACTGGTCCATAGAAGGTCCATAGAAAGAAGACGAAACTCCTGGCTAAAGAATCTACGGGAATGGTATAGCTGTAGCAACAACGAATTGTTTCGGTCAGCAGTTTCGAAAATACGTATAGCCCTGATGATCGTCAACCTTCGGAACGAAAATGGCACTTGAAGAAGAAGAAGTGACAGCTGTTCGCTTTGCATTCTCATTCAAAACAGGACTTTTTATTTTTACATTTAGTTCTTCACATGTAACACATGCATCTTTAGCTGGTTGGGCAAAGCCAATAAAAGGGTAGTTTTCCTTCAAATATGTCAAAAAAACTTGTAGGAGAACGTTTTCTCAGTTCCTAATGTTGAAATAAGGAAACAATGTTATTTTTTAATGAACATGTCATACATGATTATTAAATTCATATTGGCTGGAAAATACTTTCTTTTCCTGTATAGTGATGTACTTTGGTGTGAAATGATTCTACATGGACCCTTAATTTAGACAGTACGGACCCAGGTATTACATTTCCTGAAACGTTTTTTCTTATGTTGTCAGTTGGTGTTTCATTTAGTTGCAATAGATGTAACAAACGGTAACACTGCTTTGCAATGTATCCATAGATTTTCATAAATCCATTTTTACATACTTTTGTCCGTTTTCCATTGTGTACTACTTAATAAATTACACTGAAAGCTTTGAATTTCGCAGTTGAAGAACTAGACCTGGGTATTTCCCTTGCAATCTGACTAATTTCCATAACAAATTGGATGTAAATGTCCTGCGGCTTCGTTTTGGTTGTCATGTTATGTAGTTTGGCGAATATTTCAATCATATCTTTTTCAGTGAAAACTCCAAGGCAATTAGATTTGCAACTGAAACAACAAAAGACTTTATTGTAACAGTAATTCAGTGAAAAAAAATTAAAGATAAGTAAATTACTTTGAGGTTAGGTTTTAGTAGCCTAATATTATTTCGAAATACATACAAGATTAAATTATCTGGTTTGAGCCTGGTT